TTAAGTTAGGTTAGACTTAAGGATTAGGGTTAAGCCTAATTTGATTTAGGCTTAAGGTTTAATTTTAGTCTAAGATGAGTTAGACCTAAAAGTTAGGGTTAAGCCTAATTTGATTAAGGCTTGAGGATTAAGTTTATGTCTAAGATGAGTTAGATCTAAAGGATTAGGGTTAACTTAATTTGATTAAGGCTTAAGGGTTAAGTTTAGGTCTAAGATGGGTTAGACCTAAAGATTAGGATTAAGCCTAATTTGATTAAGGCTTAAAAGTTAAGTTTAGGTCTAAGATGGGTTAGAGCTAGAGATTAGGGTTAAGCCTAATTTGATTAAGGTTTAAGAGTTAAGTTTATGTCTAAGATAGGTTAGACCTAGTAATGATTGTTGTGCTTAGTTGTGCAGGGCTGTAGGGGACTGAGCCAAGCTGTCAATTCAATAAGGGATGCCAGTTCAGTAGGAGGTTGAACTGAACTACCCTAATTATGGTTGGAGGACTACCAACTCCTCCTTTTCCTCCCTCCTAGTTATCTTAGTTTATTATAAATATGCTATTTGATTTTACTGTTCAATTTATGTGGTGATTTTTGTTTGGACTGCCTCTAACTTCCTTCTTTTCCTTCCTAGGGTTGTACCCGATAGTGGGAAGGTGCTTCGCTTGTGACTCATTCGAGGTGATGATTTTCTTTAAGAGTTCGAGGGATCCTCTTGCCGTAACTTGTTCCCGTAGGGACACTTATCTTCACCAACTTTCTCCCTCATCTTCCTACTATTGTCTATCTTTCTCACACCCCTCTGCTCTCTGACATCGACCTCTTAGCACTCATCCAATCGCCTTTTCCCTCTATCAGTCACTGGAATGTGGCAACACAGTTCTCGTCTCCTTCCTTCCAGCCATAATTCCAATACCAGATTTTTGCCTTGTTGTAATCCTCATGCCATCAATTCCAAGCCCTTCAGTCCTCCAACAATACCTCCAGCTTTCCTCTTAACCCGTAACTCCCTCCAGCACCCTATTTTCCCTTCACAGTTGCACCGCCCTACCCTGCTACCCGCACAACCCCTTTCACCCCCACACACTGTTGGGCCTAATGCCCATCCTCTTGCTGTTATCGCCTATCCAGATTAGCCTTTCAGTTGCTGTTGCAAGCCCCAGCAAGCCATCCCTCCTGTTGCCCTGGCCGGGGTACACCACGTTTGTCCTCACCCTAGGGTGTTGTTTGTCATTTATCTCCTATTGGAAAGAGTCTTCATTGTAATCATTTTGAATTTCAACGATAATATTTCATTTCTATTGTCGTTTGGGTTAACTTAGGTATCATTTGGTATCAGAGCTAACCTAATTCCAGTCATATCACAGGGTTTCTTAGCATCCGCCTTACCCTTACACCATAAATTTATTTTTCTATTCCCAATTCATAGATAAATTTTGACATAATCCTAATTTTTATTTGCTGATTTTCATAATAATCAACTCTTTGACACCGTTGGCTAGTGTCCTACACCCTCCTACACCTCCCAATCCTAAATCCTAGCCATGCCACCAATAACATACATGCTCGAGCCGCCCGAAAAGAGATATATTGGGAGATTCTTCGACTTCATCGAGGACTTGCAGACATTAAGGATGAAAAGTATCGGGAGATTATCTTCGATCAAGATCTGGAGAGTCGAAAAGGAGCAAGAGATGAGGTTCTGAATCCCTTCCATTGGAAGGAATTTTGTGATGCAGAAGTCAGGCCACGATGCTTTGGAATCCAGTATCAGATGACGTCGAGAGAAGAGCCAACATAAGGAGGATACAAACACTTAGAAATAAAGGTGAATCTACTAGAGTTCGATGGAGGTATGAATCTCAAAGATTTCATCGAATGACTACAGTCAGTTGAGAGAATCTTTGAGTACAGATATATGCCAGAAGATAAAAAGTAAAACTAGCAGCTATGAAATTGAGATAGAATACCTCTTTGTGGTGGGACAACTTACAAAGATAGAGAAAGAGAGGGCAATGCCAAGATTATCAAGTGGGAAGAGATGAGTAAAATGGCACAGAGAATACTTACCTCCTTATTACAAACATGATATACTTTCGAGACTCCACCTACAACAGTGAGATGTATCAGTGAAGGAGTTCACGACGTAGTTTAACCTATTGCAGATGAAGTCTGATTTGTTCGAGCCAGGAAAACACCATAACTTGTTATCTGGGGGTCTGAAGCCTGCTATTAGCAATGTGGTGCATCTGCAGCGTTATTGGTCATTTGGAGATGTCCATAAATTATCATTGAAAGCGGAAAGACAACAAAAATGGAGCAGACAATCACCACCAGTCAGGTAGCCACCCACAATTGGAGACACTAGCAGGAGCATGCCTCAAGAGGTTGAGAAAACTAGTTCGGATAAGGATAAAGCCAACCCTAGTGAGAAGAAGCCTAGGAAGAGTAGCACAGCTACTACAGTCCCCGCCAGGAAATGCTATAGATGCCACAGATTTGAGCACATCGCCTCTAGTTGCCCGACAAGCCGAGTTGTCTTTTGATCGAGTTCGACACTTTGGAGGTTAGCGGCGAGGAGCCCGCTGAGGAATAAAGTGAGTTGTATCATCTTCCACAGGATGAAGGAGAGTCGCTCGTGGATCGACGAGTCCTACGGACTAAGGATATGAGGGATTCACATTGGCTTTGTCACAACATATTCTACACCTGTTGCATTGTGAATATAAAATATGCCTTCTCATCATCGATGGAGGGAGAAGTAAGAATGTGACATCTACACAAATGGTGGAGAAGTTGGGTCTCATGACTCAGAGACACTTCATGTTTTATTCTTTGAAATGGCTGAAAAAGGAGAATATCGTCAATATTGATAGGACGTGCCTCGTGGAGTTCTTGATTGGAGGCCTGCTATAAAATCATGTTTGGTGCGATGTGGTCCCCATGGATGCCTGCCACCTTTTGTTGGGGGAGATCATGACAATTTGACTACATGACTCAGCACGATAGATTCAAAAACACCTACTCTTTCACCAAGGATGGGAAACACATCACCATTCCCCCTTTCAAGAGAGCCCGCGATCACAGGTGCCCTTGCCAGCAGAGCAGCATCGGTGGGACCGGTTTTGGTGACGATGATAGTGATTGAGAAACAAGCTCCAGATACGAGATAGTCATAACAGAGAGAAATTCAGGATATCACTGGAAACATTACTACATGGCCAACACTGTTCGGTGAGGTTCAGGCTACCCTCACTTGAGATCAAGTTGAGCCGACCGTGGATTACTTTGGGAGTATTCAGCAACATAAGTGAGACACGCAGACTAAGTTCAGTAGTGTACCCTCAGGAGAGCGGATCGATATGGATTTATGCTATCAAGTGGAGGAAAATTCTCAGGTGTTTTGGGAGACAGTATAGTCGACAATGTTATATCGGTACTGCTAGGATTGAAGGCAATGAATAAAAACATGGCTGAACATGGCTGAACCCGGAAGACCAACACAGTGCTGCAGGGGGTGAACCGGGCTATCGGTTCAGTAAGGGGTGCTGGTTCGACAGGGAGCTGAACCGACCGACCCTAATTAGGGTTGGAGGACTACCGCCTTCTTCTTTCCCAACTCCTCTTAGTTATCTTATTTTATTATAAATATGTTGTTATTTGGTTTTATTGCTTAGTCTTTGGAGTGATTTTTGTTTGGAGAGCCACCTACTTTCCTCTTTTCTCTTCTAGGGTTGTTTTCGACTTCAAGAAGGTGCTCTGGCTCTAACTCGTTCGAGATGACGATCTTCTCCAAGGTTTTAAGGGGTGCTCCGACTGCAACTTGATCCCGTGGGGACACTAATCTTCCCCAACTTTCCTGCGCATCTCCTTGCCACCGTCTCTCTCTCCCAAACCCCTCTGCTCTCTGTAGTCCACTTCCCAACACTCCTGCAATCACCCGTTTGCCCTCTGCTAGCCGCTGGAATGTGGTGATTCGCTTCCCGTCTACTTCCTCCCAGCTGTAACTCGAATATCAGTTATCTACCTTGCCGTAACCCTTCTACCACCCGTTCCAAGCCCTCCAGTCCTCCAACAATACCATCCAACCTGTAATTCCCTCCCGCACACTATTTTCCCTTTACAGTTGCACCGCCCTATCTTGCTACCTGTACTCTCACCTCCACCTACACACCTAATGCCCAATCTTCTAATGTTGCCGCCTATCCATGTCCGCCTTCCGGTTGCTTCCGCAAGCTCCAGCCAGCTCTCCCTCTTGCTGATGCAGCCTATCCACATTAGACTTCTGGTTGCTGCCGCAAGCCCCAAGCAACCCTCCCTCCTGCTGCCCAGCAAGGGTACACCACATTCGTCCTCATACTTGGGTGCTGTTTGTGTTTGTTTGTCATTTAGTTTATGTTTTGAAGAGTCTTCTTTGTAATCGTTTTGAATTTCAACATTAATATTTCATTTCTATTGTGGGTTGGGTGAACTCCGGTATCAATAGCATTTTAATAATGCATCCAATTAATCATAGCTATTAAGTTATTCTATTTATTATTCCCATGACTAATTGATGTTTTCGGCTACTAGGATAAACAATAAACTAGCATAAGATTATTTGAACGATACCTTAGCAAAAATTTTTTCATTTTAAAGCCTTACTCCATATGCACTGAACAGAAATTCATCTAATCATGCAAAACCCTAATAAGTTTACTAGTTCTCAAAAATAACTTAATCCTACTTGAATTACTCTTACACTCTCAACTCTAAAGATCATGATAGCATTGTAACCCTAATAAGTTAACTATTATGTGACTTCTCTAGCTTTGCTGATGCAAACTAATGCTTGAGTTCCAGTCTCATGGTTTATACTTTAACTATAGTTTGAAGTCCAATAAGATACGTACATTTTACATGCCATAGTTCGTTTCTTTTAACCATGATGTAACTTTTGGAGTTTGGATGGATTTTTTAATCGGCCGTTTTGGTTATATTTTGATTGTTTTTTGCCCTTTTTTGTTTGACCAACAGGATATGTACACATAGGCACTTGTAGAATCTCTCCAGATCATAGATTCATTGCATATACTTTGGACACCTCTGGGAGTGAAATGTTCATGCTTCTTGTTAAAGACCTTCAAACTGGACAAATCGCTTCAGATCCAAAAAGAAAGGGGGTTGTTAGCTTGGCTTGGGCTGGTGACAGCAGTTCTTTGTTATATACAGTTTGTAACGAAAGTCAGCGGCCTTACAGGTTCACCTTCATTAATTCTTATTGTTTGATTCATCTGTGAGTTTTTGCCTCCAGTTTTCTTGTGCTAGTGACCAGCTTATCTTTGACAGAATCTTCTCGACAAACTTATGGTCAAGTATGGTAGATGATCTTATTTTTACCGAGAACGATTTAAGTTGTTGTGTAGACATTGCAAGCACAAAAGATGGGAAATATATCACAGTAAATTCTAACTCGAGGTCATCATCCGAGGAAGGTCATGTTTCAGTTTGTTGTATTAAATATGAGGAAGATTTACATACATACAACTCGATTTCCATATATTTACATATCTAACACCTAACTTCAATTTTTACCTACCTATGCATGAAGAGGTGTAATTTTCACTTTTTAGAAGTTAAAATTATGATATTTTTTATGTGATATGCAAAATTTGGGTCGTATAAATGTAAAAATTATGTAAATACATAGTTAACCTTAGCTTTTTACATTTCTAGACTGCTTTATCTATCGGAAGTTGAGCTTTTTAACAGGTATATGTGATCGATGCAATGAATTTAAAAGATGGAATTTGGCCTGTTCGAAATCGTGTTCCTGGTGTGCAGTACTTCCTGGAACACCACTATGGTTACTTTTATATTCTTACAAACGCTTGTTCAGAAGAAATGGCAGCCACAAATGGTTTTCATTTAGTTAGATGTCAAGCTGATAAGTTATTGCTGACGAATTGGCAGGTAGAAGTTCTTCGAACTAGTTGAAGTAGCTTGGAGTTTGTACTCTGCAATTTCACAAATTTGAAGTCACTTATGCATGAGATTATGCTTGCTACATGGTTAGTAATAAGTGTTTTATAGTTATAGTTAGGTTCATCAACAAACTGATAGGTATATACTAATTTAATACCCGAGAGATTCCTTTATGTTCTAATTTGACATGTAATTTTAGTTGTTGACAGTTACTTATGTTGCTTTTTCAGATTTGTCTAGACAACCTTAAACAGCTTTTTATAGATGTTTTCACGGATGTCAGGACTCTCTACACCATGTCGTATTATAATGTTGTTCTACTCCCAATTTTAGGTGTCTTCTGATGTTATTTAATCACTAAAAGATTCATTAAGTTTTTTTAAGGATATTCTTTATTTAAAATAAAAAAAAACCACTTTCTCCTCTAGTGCTTTTTTCCTGCTGTGGCTTCCTTTCGTGTTTCTATTTCTCTTAGTTCTCTGTTTTTTTTAGTTATCACAACTCCAAAGCATCTTGGGAGTGGGATATGATTGTTAATTATGTTTTT